CTGTGTTAGGTGTTGGAGACCTTCTGTTGTAAGATCATTGGGTTCTGGTGTTTTCATGCTGATTTTCAGATTATTGGGTGAATTCTTTCCTTGACGCCTGCCCATCTCCTCCTATCGATGCTATCTAAGGGGTCTGTTAAAACTGGTTCAGGTTTCCCTGCTGGCCAGGGGCTCCTCTTACAAAATGCCCTTGCTCTGTTTCCTGGTTCCTGCCGGGGGGGGGGGGGGGGGGTGGGGGGGGGGGGGGGGGGGGGGGGGGGGGGGGGGGGGGGCGGCGCAAGATCCCCTCTCACCCCTCAGAAGGGTCTTCAAGAATAGGACCGGGCTCCTCCTCTGCCCAGGGACCTCCTCCAACCGAATGCCTACCTCTTTGGTTTAATTGTAGTGGGGCGATCTGTTCTCGGTGTTTCGCGCTGCTGGGATGGTTCCCGCCACCAGCAGCCTGTGTCCTCTGCTGCCGCTCCGGTCCCTGCCGGTTCCAGCCTGTCCCAGTTGGTCCCCGCCGGCTGCGCTGGGCGTCCTCAGGCTGCCTTCCGCGCCCGGCCCGGTGTTCTGGCCGCCTTCCGCCGCCCGGCCCCAAGAAAATTATTTCTGCTTTGAATATATTACCAAGTTTGTGGTGCTTTGTTTTGAGCGGTATAGACGGACTAAGCCCTAGGCATGTAAATTTTTAAAATTTCATAAGTGTATGCAATGTATCTTGACCATATTTAGCACCCATCTCCCAACTTCCCAAATATGTCTCCCTCCCAACTTCAAGTCCCCCACCCTCTCCCTCTGCATATATCCCTAATTTCAGTTTGTGTTGCCCACATATGCACGGTATGGAGTTATCCACTAGGATATGGGGCCGCCCACTAGCAGCCATCCTTCAAGGAAAAGTGACTCCCTCCCCTTCAGCAGCCACCAACTGCAGTAGCTCCTCAGATGTGGGGAAGTGGGGAGCGTTCATGCAGGAACTTTTAACCGGCTTGATCTTGTGAGTTACCCATAGCTGATGTGTGTTCCTGTATTCAAGTTCCATGCATGTGCAGAGGGCAGTATTTCACAGCGCTCCTCCCTCCTCCCAGCTCTTCATTCTTCCTGCTGTTTCTTCTGAGATGTCTTTGAACCTGGGGTAGGGGTGGTATAGACGAACCTTCTGTGACTGAGCACACACTTGCTTATCCTCCAGCTGAGGTTTTCAAAATCATGTTTTAATGGAAAGAAACTGTGTTAGGATTTAGAGTACACAGACTCTTTGCTTGTGGGATAGAAGGACTGAGTAAAACCATAGCTTATTTGTGCTCCCTAGTCTCTTGAGCAGAAGAGACTGGAGTAGACAGAGAAATTTTAAACCATTATCTGAGATCAGAGTGTGAACAAAAAGCAGAGTGAATTTCACAGTTCTCATCCTTATGAGAATACTCTGGCCTTGTTCACATATGCTTGTTAAAGAGTTGCATTAAGCCTTTTGGGGTGTCTTAAAGGAGTATTGACACAGCTTGACTGCAGCATTTTCCTCAACTCAAAATTGACATTTATTTGTTATTGATTTCTAGATGTTCATAGTCCTAGGACTCAAACTCAGCACCTTGCACATATTAGGCAGGCATTGTCACTGAATCGTACGTCCAGCCCTCTGTTCTAATTTGCTTTGTGTCTACTAGACTTTGTTTAGCTGGGTTGTGCTTGGCAGGCGTCTTTACTCTTCTTTCTTTCCTGCAGGCTTGCCTTTTGTCACGGCCCCAAATAAGTTCGAAGCTCTGGCTGCTCACGATGCTCTGGTGGAGCTAAGTGGAGCCATGAACACAACCGCCTGCAGCCTGATGAAGATAGCCAATGATATCCGCTTCCTGGGTTCCGGTCCTCGGTCAGGTCTAGGGGAGCTGATCTTGCCTGAAAATGAACCAGGGAGCAGCATCATGCCAGGTGAGCACTTAGCTGATAAGTTTCCGGAGCTGGAATTGACTAGATCCTAGGGACTCGTAACACAGAACATGCTTTTCCACTGCCATCCCGGAAGCGATGGGGACGCGTGAGGAGCACTTGTTCCACAGTATCCGTGTGGATCAGAGCTTTCAGGACCATCACTTACCAAGTCAGGAACATGACATGAGTTAGTGGCATGTTGAGGTTCTCAGACTGGAGCCTGCATAGTTGTATCCTTCAGTCTGAAGCCAAGAGAATGACAGAGTACAACAATCAGCCTTGGATAAATATGAGCCCCCTTCTAAAGTCCTCATGTCATGTTTTGCCTCTGGTTCTGGCCTGATACATAGAAGTGACAGACATTGGAATCTGGGAGGTGAGCATAGTTGGGGGAACAGACATTTAAGGGAATGACTAATGAGTTGTCTTTATTTGGAAAAATAGCTTGATATTGGGCTCCTACCCATTCAGCATTTTACTGGTGACGTGGGGTAGAGACAAGAAACACTTACTAATTATTTAGTTGATAGCAAAAGTTGAGGTGGCAATATGTTGTAGCATTTAATAGTTTACTATGTAGAAAATGCTTTCAATAGACTTTTAACTATGTATGTGTACATAGCCCAAAAGATCTCTATTTGCAGTTGTGTTGAAAAATGGCATGTAGGTTTAGTTGATTGCAAGTTGAAAATAATTGTTAAAGAGAGAAATGGAACCAGATATGGTAATGCATATGGTTGATCCTGGCACTTAGGAGGCTGAGCCAGGAAGATTAGATAGAGTTCAAGGACAACCTGAGCTACAAACAATATTTCAGGACTGCCTGGGCAACTAAAGCAAAAACCTGTTTCCAAAATGAAAAACAAATGGCAGAACATCACAGACAGGGGGCAATCCTTCCATGTATTCTCACACTGGCTAGAAGAATCTGCTGTGTGCGGCTTGGATCTGGGCTTGTTAAAGGAATGCTGCTGGGCTCGAGCCCTGGGGACTAAATAGAGTTCCAGCCTAGCATCTCCCCTTCTCTTGTGAACCCCTTATTTATTGGAGTCGCCAGCTCTTTTCTTGGCTGCCACTCTCTTGGAGGGTGGAGTCTATGTCTTTCTAATTGTATATTTCGTGCCTGGTTGCCTAAATGCCTATGTGGGAACATAAGCCATAAAGAAGGGAAACCATGTGTAGATGGAGTTTTTCTTGAGTGATCCCTGGCTATACATCCCCCTTTCTTTGATATTTTTGTGTGCCTGTGATATTGGGGGTTGGACCTAGGGCCTCCTCATGTTAGGCAAGCATTCTGTCTTTAAGATGTATCCCTAGAATTCTTTATATGTTTTGAGTCAAGATCTTCCTAAGTTGCATAGTCTGGCCTTGACTCAGGTAGTCCTTGAATGTAGAATCTTCCTGCCTTAGACCCCTGATTGGCTAGAATTACAGTCTGTACCTCAATTTTGTTTTCTTTTATGTCTTTATTTAATAATGTTACATTTCTTTCTTTGATATAAAAACAGTCTTAAATGATATGGGAAACCATGAGCCTATTTGATGAGACTCTGCACTGATTTTCTCAAAGGAAAGGTGAACCCTACTCAGTGTGAAGCAATGACTATGGTTGCTGCCCAAGTCATGGGGAATCATGTGGCTGTTACTGTCGGAGGCAGCAATGGACATTTTGAGTTGAATGTTTTTAAACCAATGATGGTAAGCTTTCAATTTGATTTTTAGCAGTTTCTGATTGAAGACTAATTGCCAGTACTCTTGTCCTCCTGAAGGTTTCTGGAACTTCCACACTAGGTAACTGTGTGATGTCTGTAGAGTACCGATGTGCTACTGGAATAGTCTGGGTTTCTGGAGTAGGAGAGGGGTTTCTTTATCCCCTCCCAACATGGATGCCAGTAGCTGGAAATCAGTTGAGGTCTGCTCAGCTTATAAAGTATGCCTCCTGTACAGCCCTGTCTCCTTCTCAGACTGCTGCTTTGTGGCTTCTTCCTTCAGGGTTGGGTGGAAGAGACTGGCCCATTGCCAATCTTGGATGGTTTGATCACTTTGGTCCAGCCTCAAGCCTTTCACGTAGCTCGCATTGTTCCTCATTGTCAGTGACCTTTTCCTTCTAATGGACATTCCCCATTCTCAGGATGACATGTTGACCATCTCTCCTTTTTTTTTAGCACTTTTTCTGCCCCCCAAAAGTCTTTCTTTAATTTCCTTTTGCCTTTTCCTTGTACCTTAGAAACTAACTGTGCACCAAACTTCTCTTTTTCCCTTATCACTCCAAATATGGAACAAGCTGGTATCATCTTGTATGCAGATTCCTGAGCTTCAGTCAGCCATTTGTACACTGCTGAATCTGAAATACACTAGAGGCTTATTTCTTACTGGCTTGTGGTAGAAAGTCCAATTGATGAGTATATGCAAATGGATATTAGTATGTTCATTTAGGTTTCACTTTGGATCATACAATTTTAGGTGTTCACAATAAGCAATAAGCATAATGAACTTTATGTTTTTTGCCTTCATGGCATGCATATTCTGTCAGGATTGGCAAACAAAAGACAGGCCAAAATGAACTTCAGATCTATATGCTTTTGCATCAGGGCCATATTTCCAACAGTTAATACCAGCTGCCTGACATATACAGGTGTATAACAACTGTTTATTGTTAGATTTATAATCATTTACTATGTCTTAAAAGTAATGCCATCCTATTTCTTCTTTGTAAAAATGAACAAGAAAAAAAAACAGTTCTGGTAAATACAGTTTTTCCATCGCATAGAGTAAAACTATTACATCAGCCTGAGAGACAGGGAGAACATTGGGGTCAAAGGTAGACCTAATTGAGAGAAAAAAAAAGTTTTGCTTTAATTAGGATATCAGGATAGTATTTAAGTTACAGTTAAGTCATAAGAATCAAGCTTTAATGTCTAGCTTCTGTTAGCGTCCATTGGTGGAAGTATAGCTTCCAGATCTTACTGGGGTTTTAGCTGTATATGGGAAGTGTTGCTCAAAAGAAACAGGCGTAAACACCGTGTGATGTTACTTCAAAGTGATTCTGCAGTGTTTGTTTCATGAGGCATAAAACCAAAGAATCCATCCAGCATTTAGCAGCTGTCTCAGGCCTCTATACTTCTGCATCTCTTTCTCCTGCTTGGATGGGTCTTCATCATCTATGGCTGTCCACATCTGTGTCTGCTAGGAATCCTCCTGGATTGTGGATACAACACATCTCACCTGTTTTAAATGTTCACTGTGTAGCTATCAGTTATTGGTTATCTTGTGTTACTTATTCACCGTGAGCTGTCTTGTGTTAGTTATCTACCTTGACTATCTCGGATTAGTTAACTCTCCATGGATACTCTTTTTATCCACCATGGGCTAGCCTGTGTTAGTCGCTGTGGGCTGTCTTGTGTTACTTATCCATCAGGGGTGTCTTGTGTTAGTTACTCAGACTTATGTCTTTTGTCATTTTTAGGTTTGTAACTTCCTTTCTCACTTGTCTTCTTGGGTATATACTGCAGAATTTGTAAAAGCGATGTATGGTTATTGAATTATATATCCAGCATGGAACGTCAAATAATGCATGTCATTGGACAAAAGCAAAACAAAGTAAACTGAGGCTTAGAAATGACTCTCTTTCTTTCTTCCTCTCTGTGTCTCTGACAGATTAAGAATGTATTGCACTCAGCCAGGCTGCTGGGAGATGCTTCAGTGTCCTTCACAGAAAACTGTGTGGTGGGGATCCAGGCCAACACTGAGAGGATTAACAAGCTAATGAATGAGTCTTTAATGTTGGTGACAGCTCTTAATCCTCATATAGGTAAGTTTGGAGAATAATGCCATTTTAAAAACAGCATTTAAAAGTTAAAAACAAAAATCCTTAAATTTTAAAAAAATGTTGTGTGTGTATGTGTGTGTGTGCATGTACATGTACACCGTGGTGTACATGTGTACGTCAGGTTATTTTCTTTCTACTATGTTGGTTCTAGGGATGGAACTATGGTTAGCAGTCTTCACAGCAAGCACCTTTATAAACTAATTTGCTGGTCCTAGAAGTTTCAAGTGACTAGTTTTTTTGGACAGGGTTTTAGATATATGGCTTAGGATGGCTTTGAGTTCTTTTTTTAAAAAATAAAACCTTTTACCTCTCTCTCTCTCTCTCTCTCTCAGTGTGTGTGTGTGTGTGTGTGTGTGTGTGTGTGTGTGTGTGTGTGTATGCATGTCTCTCTCGGTCTCTTTATCTGTCTGTGAGTCCATCTGTCCCATGGGATGCACATGGAGATGGGAGAAGAGCTTGCAGCAGTCCGCTCTCTCTTTCCACCACGTGCGGCTGTGGGATAGAAGGCAGGGCACGTGTCTGGGCAGAGAGCACTTTTACACACCCAGCTCTCACACCAGCCCTCATTTCATATTAATGCACTCACGTGCTGGGTGTTGCTTGCAGTTGGGAAGGTTGTCTGTCAGATCTTCTTTGGTAATGTCACTAGGTGGCACTGCCTGATTACCAACAGTGAACGAACGGATTCATTTGCTTTTTTCCTTTTCTAGATACTATGTAGCACTTGAATTTTGTTTTATCCAATTCAGATATTTAATGTTACTAATTAAAAGAGAAAGGCAAAATATTTAATGTTTATAGGGAAAGGAGAGAAAATGGAATACTTTTTCTGAAATTAACCTTTGTGTTCCTAGTCTTTTCTAGATTGTAACTGTTTTTATACAGACTTAGATGGCAGGCTGACCACCACTGCCCAGCCTGTAAGATATTTGCTGTGGCTTCTGCAGGCTGAGGCAGACACAGCGCTACATTCCCGCTACCGAGCAGTTGACTTTGGTCTGTTTTTGAGTGATGTGGCATGATGTAGTTACATTTTAGCATGTTCTCTGATCCCGACCTTTGGGGCAGATCTTATTTGAGGTTTTCTAGTTGTGTAAAGTTGGTAAAATGGTGACTCATTTAAAACTGTTATACACCAGTATTCACCTGGATGTACAGAGTGACCCCAAGGGCTCCTGTGACAAGTGCTCCCTCCGACACTTCTAGGTTAGAGACACCGTCTAAGCAGGATGGCTGGGGCACTTTCGTGGACTCTGTGAGGACAGAGCCACCCAAGGCAACATCTCTGGCAAATGTGCCTCCTGATCTCAGCAAGGACCACCTCACTGGCTGAGTGAGTCCTGGTCCGCGGCTCTCAGGGGTCTTGAGACACAAGAGTCTGGTGGCTAATAGTGTTTTGTGCTGGTGAGCAGGGTGCTTATGTTTCAGTCCTTGCTCACACACAAAGCACAGAAGGAAGGATGAAGTCAAGCAGGCCCAGGTGTGGTTGCTTCCAGACATGTCACACTTTACCTCCTGGCTGTCATTGCCCAGCAGGCTCCACCCTTTGGTCACAGGTCTCTGACTTTTAAGCTTTATTTTTGTCTTTTCTCACTGACTTCATTGTCCTGGCTTCTGCCTTCTCTCTTTTTAAAACTGTCAATTTTTAAGGTCAGAACAACCTTGAGAACTTCCCGGTGGTAGCCTTTATTTAAAAAGCAGATGACTCTGAAATAAGCCAAGGCCAGTGATCCTTTGTTTGTTTTTTGAGGCAGGGGCTTGCTGTGTAGCCAGGCTGAGACTCAGGGTCATCTCCTGGCTGAGAGTATTACAGTGCATTGGGTTGCCTGGGTTCTTTTGTCCAGATACATATTTCTGCTAAGATTTTCCCAGTTTTCTCCTTGTAATATCCAACCAGAGAATGACACCCTCTCAGTCTGGCTGCTCTGCCTCAACAAGGACCTAATTTCCCAGTTCTCCTCCAGAGGCAGTCCTGACAGCTGCCCATTAAATAACTGTCTATTCTGCCGGCCTGCCACATTTAATGTTAGTGCTGCCTTAGAAAGATAAGTATGGCCAGGCATGGTGGCACACACCTTTAGTCTCTGCACTCAGTAGACAGAGGCAGATGATCTCTAGGAGTTCCAGGCCAGCCTGGTCTACGAAGTGAATTCCAGGACAGCTAGGGCTACACAGAGAAACCCCGGTGGGGTGGGGTGGGGGTGTAATTATGGGGCAGCATACCCAAATGTGGGTTTTTATACCATGGTGCTTTATTTTCAATCTCTTTCGATTATTGGTCCACTTCAACAAATCTCGGATAAAATGAGGCGTGCTTAAGTCTATTTCCTAAGAAAATCCAGGCCATATTCTGTAGGAGACCTGACAGTTATTGGCCTGTGACATCTGCATCACTAACAATGATGGTTGTCTAACATTTGTGCTGTGTGTCCTCCCCTCAGGGTATGACAAGGCAGCGAAGATTGCCAAGACCGCACACAAGAAAGGATCCACCTTAAAGGAAACGGCCATTGAGCTTGGCTACCTCACAGCGGAGCAGTTTGATGAGTGGGTGAAACCCAAGGACATGCTGGGCCCAAAGTGACTTAAATAAATTTATATTAAAATAAACTTGTATGAAATTTTAAAAAGCAAGACTGTTTATAAATGAAAATGAGGAAGTTAAAAAGGAAATGTGTGGACCTGAGGGTCTGTAGCAGCAAAATTGACAATTTGCATGAACTTCCAGGGCCACAGTAAACTAAATAAGTGTAAGATTATTTCATAAAATAAAAAAAATGATAAACTAATTTCATTTTGTGCTAAGTAACTTATGTAATAGAAACTGATATTTTGTGCATATGTGTTTGTCACTTCATGAGTTTTTAAAAATACTCATCAGTTTTTTAAAGAGTTTTAGTTTATGGCTGGTAGTATTTTGATAAAGTTCCTTGATAGTAAAGTATTATTACTGATTCACAAATCATGTCTCTAACCAGCTTGAATTTACTGTGCTCTCAGCATAAGCTGGCCAAGCCCTTTTGAGTAAGCATGTATACATGTGTATTGTGTGCGTGTGTTAGTGTCAGGAAGGGGGATCAATTAAAAACTGGGACATACACATGCTGTCGTACAGTTATAAAGACTAGTATGCTTGGGCCAAGCATCCCTTAATATTTGTTCTTGGGAAAGTAATTATACCACCAATTCCTCCGTGGCAGTTTAAAGTCATTGCTTATATAGAAACAGAGTAATTAAAACTAATTCTAAAACTGTTAAGGAAGGTGGATGGATTTATTTATTTTATTTTCCTGGTAGTGCTGGAGGTGGGACCCAGATCCTTACACATGCTTGGACACTTTACCATTGAGTTCTATCTCTATAGTCTTTCAGTTTTTTTAGATCAGGCCTCATGGGGTTGCCCAGTTTCCTTGAGCTGTCTGTAGTCCAGGCAGGTGCTGACATTGGAAGCCTCCTTTGCTGGCTTCCTAGGCTATGATTATAGTTCTGACCACAGCTTGCAGAATTCTAATTTGTTAAGACTGAATGGACATTACATTTTTTTCCTTTTTTTTTTTTAATGTGTTACGAGTTTTCTCTGCATGTATGTCTGTCTATCACGTACATTCTCAGTGTCCTAGAGGCCAGGAGAGGGCAGTGATTCCGTGAGACTGGAGTTGATTGTGAGCCACTGTGTAGTGCTGAGGATTGAACCCAGGTCCTCTGGAAGACCAGCTAGTGCTTTTTACCACCAAGCCATGTTCCGAACCCGAGGCATTTTTATTACAGGTTCAAACCTTTTCTTACATAACTCCAGAAATTATAGGGATTATTCTTAGTCCATATGGTGTGTGTGTGTGTGTGTGTGTGTGTGTGTGTGTGTGTGTGTATTCTTTCTCAATATGGGGATTCACCCCAGGGCCTCAAGCTTGCTAGGCAGGCATCACCACTGAGATACTTTCTTACCTGTAGGTCTGTCTTTGCCTGCAATAGTTAGATGGTGATACTACAATGCTTCTACAGCTTGCTTTTGGATAAGGTGTGCTTTCTCTTAATTCCATCTTAGAAAGGTTTTGAAATTAATAAAAATCAGTCAATTAGAATGTGTAACAAATAATTGGTAGTTGTGAGAACTGGTCTTGTGACATATTTGTTCTGATGTTGATGTCTACCTTGGCAGGCTGTCATCTGAGGGCTTGTCTAGGGATATAACCACTTAGGTAATACAGATAACAGCACATCAGGTTCCCAGCCTCTCAGCTAGCATTTGTATGACCGATTCCGTCCAGCACATTACAGGCCAAGGAATCCTTTGAATTAAAATCATCTCTCATGGTGCTGAAGCAAATTAGTATAGGGTGATGTCATGGGAAGAAGGCTTTTAGATTTCTCTGTTGGATGCTCAAATTGAAGGTCAACTCCATGTTTCCAGGGGGAATCTTCTCTGAAGACATATAGCAAAGTCCAGAGACACTTGTGTGCCACAGCTGTGGAAGAAATGTGATAGAAGCCAGAGAGACAAGACAGATGGCTAAACACAATGCACAGGAGAGCATTTTCCAGTCTAGAGACCATCTAGGTTCCTTTCCCCTCTTCCTTCTTCCATCCATGGTGCTATTCCCACTACAGGTAGGCAGGTGAGGAGTGGTGGCTCCTGCCTTTAGCCACAGCAGCACTCAAGCTTCAAAGAAAAGGAAAGAAGGTCCTCCATGAGGTCAGGGTCTTCCAGGACCACATAGTGAGACCCTGTCTTTAAAAACAAATCAAAAAACCATAACAAGGCTGGGCGGTGGTGGAGCACACCTTTAATCCCAGCACTCGGGAGGCAGAGGCAGGCGGATCTCTTGTGAGTTCGAGGCCAGCCTGGTCTACAAGAGCTAGTTCCAGGACAGGAACCAAAAACTACAACGAAACCCTGTCTCGAAAATTCAAAAAAAAAAAAAAAGCCAAAACAACACAAATGGTCAAAGTCTTGAAACACTGTCAGGCTTAAGATGAAGACGTACAATCTCTTGATACCTGTAGACAAACACTAAGAAGAGCCAGGGACTTTCCACTTCTGGCTGTTGTTTGCTGTTGCTCTTTTCTTCAGCTCTATCTTGTTCTGTAGCTCAGACTGGCCTCAAAGTGGGATTCTCCTGTCTCAGTATCCTGAGTGCTAGGATTACAGATACCTGTCATCTTACTCCACCTTTGATAAAGGGTTTTCTTGAGCAAATCATCTCAAAGGAAAATCAGAGAACTGGAATGAACATGTCCATTGAACTGTCAGCTCAACAAACAGCAAGAAATTCTGAACGTACAATTTACTCATTTCTGAGATATTTAGCCTGGCTGGCCTAAAAAAGTATTCATAAACGCTAGAGACTTCAGGCTTAGGCGTACGAACAACCACACTTCTACATGGTGTGTTCCTCTCTTCCTTGACTCTCTGGCCTGAAACGCTAGACACCTGAGAGTCCAGTGTAATTGTTTTAAAGAAATGTTTACCAAAGACAAGATTAAAGCTGGTAAGCTCAAATGATTCAATTTCTGGGAATAAATTCATTGAATCATCAGTTTATCCTAACAGCTTTTGTCCGGAATGTGGGTGAGGAGGAGGAAGTTAATGCTGGGTTTGTCTTAAGCTTTAAAAGGGGCGATCACAAGGCATTGTGAATACAGGCCACCTTGTGAACTGTTGAGATTTTACCCCATTCCTGGGTTATCCCCAAAGACGAATGGGGCTCCAAGTTGCTTGTTCTCTCCTCCCTGCTATATAAGCATCACACATCACCTGTAAATCTAGAAAGAAACCGGTTTCTGAGGACAAAGTGGAGAGACCTCTCCTGTGTCACCAGACTGTATTCATGCATGACTAAGAGCCTCGGGTGGAGTGTGCTTGGCCCTGACTCAGTTAGATGAGGGAGGAATTTAAGAAGGAAGGTTCTTGAGAACTATGTATGTTTTTCAGTAATTTGAGCTCTCTATCATATTGACTTAGAAGTAAGGTTGAGGCTCAAAGGAAAATAGGCAGCCAACTGGAAGGAAGATGGAAGGGAGCCACTGAAAGAGTGATGGATGGAGAAGAGATGGCATTGGGTGCCAGCTTCTAGATGCTGAGGAAGACGGGAGACTGGTAGACCGACCCGGGCACTACTCTGTCTCTGACCCACCCACCTCCTTACAGGGCAGCTGTTCTTCCACCTTTCATATTTAGGTTCCCGAGTTCTTAAGCATCTATGAAGTACCCAGCACAAGTACCCTGCTTCTCTTTTCTAAGCTCCCTGAAGAGAAATGGGGGAAGCTGCAAGTACTTCACAGACTTTAAGAGTGCGAGACTAAGATGAGCACAGTAGCATGGACAGGCTTGTGTATTATAACATTTTTCTGTATGGTAAAGTTGGCACACTAGAGTTTTGTTGCTGTATTTTTATGTATATATCATTATATTTTTATTCTTTTGGTCCGCTCCCCTGTCGTTCACCTCCTCCCTGCCTCCGAATTATCATTGCTTCTCCTCTTTCATTACATGTACTTCATTACTCTTCCCCCCTATTATGATGGCTGAGTTAGCTGTCAACTTGACACACCTGGAAAGAGGGAACTTCACTTGAAGAATTGCCTTAATGTTGTAGGAGGCTGCTTGTTCGTCCTGGCTGCCCAGAACCGAAATAACTACACAGAAACTGTATTAGTTAAGTCACTGCTTGGCCCGTTAGCTCTGGCTTCTTACTGGCTAACTCTTACATCTTAATTTAGCTCATTTCTAGTAATCTGTGTTTCGTCTTGTGGCTGTGGCTTACCAGGTAAAGTTCCCGTGTCTGTCTCTGGCGGGGCTCCATGGCTTCTTCTGACTCTGCTTTCTTTTTCCCAGCATTCAGTTTAGTTTTCCCCCACCTAGCTCTTTTCAGCCCTGCTCTGCCATAGGCACAAAGCAGTTTTTTTTTTTTTCAAAGCAATTTCTCTATTAACCAATGGTACTCACAGCATACAGGGGAATCCCACCTCATTAATCAGATTGGCATTGGGCAAGTCTGGGGGCTATTTTCTTGATTGCTAATTGATGTAGAAGGGCCCAGGCCACACTGGGTAATGCCACCCCTAGACAGATAGTTCTGGGCTGTAGAAGAAAGGTAACTGAGTATGAGCCTTAGACAGGCCAGTAAGCAGCCTTCCTCCATGGTCTCTGCTTCTGTTTCTGCCTCGGTTTTCCATGATGATGGGCTGCAACCTGTAAGTTGAAATAAATCCTATCCTTCCCAAGTTGCTTTTGTTTTTTGGTTTTTTTATGTTTTATTTTTTTTAATTTATTTATTTATTAAGGATTTCTGCCTCCTCCCCGCCACTGCCTCCCATTTCCCTCCCCCTCCCCCGATCAAGTCCCTCTCCCTCATCAGCTCGAAGAGCAATCAGAGTTCCTTGACCTGTGGGAAGTCCAAGGACCTCCCACCTCCATCCAGGTTTAGTAAGGTGAGCATCCAAACTGCCTAGGCTCCCCCAAATGCCCTTCAATGGGAGAATGGATGAAGAAAGTATGGAATATATACATATTAGAGTATTACTCAACAGTAAAAAACAAGGATTTCTTGAATTTTGCGTACAAATGGATGGAAATAGAAAACACTATCCTGAGTGAGGTAAGCCAGACCCAAAAAGAGGAACATGGGATGTACTCACTCATATTTGGTTTCTAGCCATAAATAAAGGACATTGAGCTTATAATTCGCGATCCTAGAGAAGCTAAATAAGGTGAATCCAAAGACAAACATATAGGCATCCTCCTGAATATTAACCTTCATCAGGCGATGAAAGGAGACAGAGACAGAGA